CATATGTCTACACAAAAACTTGTACATGAATGCTCATAACAGTATTTTTCATCATAGTCAAAAAGCAGAAACAACCCAGATATCCACCAGTGGGTGAATGGACAAATAATGCTGAAAAACATATATGATCAAACAGTATTTGACAATAAAAGGAATGAGGTACTGATACAAGTTACAACATGGATGGAACTTGGAGACACGATGCTAAGTGACAGAAGCCAGTCAAAAAATATTCCATATATTGTATGATTCCATTTATATGAAATGTCCAGAATAGGCAAGTCAACAGAGGTAGGAAGTAGATGAGTGGCTGATCAGGGCTGGAGAAGTTCAGTAGACTGGGGGAGATGACTAAAAAGCATGGGAATTCTTTTCTGGGGTTGATAAACATATTCTCAAATTGACGGTGGTGATGACTATACAATTTCATTATCTATTAAAAACCACTGAATTGGGGCGCCTGGGTGGCTCAGTTGGTTAAGCGACTGCCTTCGGCTCGGGTCATGATCCCGGGGTCCTGGGATCGAGTCCCGCATCGGGCTCCCTGCTCGGCGAGGAGCCTGCTTCTCCCTCTGACCCTCTCCCCTCTCACGTACTCTCTCTCTCTCATTCTCGGCTCTCTCAAATAAATAAATCTTAAAAAACAAAAAACACTGAATTGTATATATTTTTTTAAAGATTTTATTTATTTGAGAGAGAGCATGAGAGAGCAAGCAAGCACAAGCTGGGGTGAGGGAGGAGGGGAGAGGGAGAGGGAGAAACAGGCTCCCTGCTGAGCAGGGAGCCCGAGAACATGGGGCTCGATCCCAGGACCCCAGGATCATGACCTGAGCAGAAGGCAGACACTTAAGCAACTGAGCCACCCAGGCGCCCCTGAATTGTACACTATAAATGGGTGAATCTTATGGATATGACTGTATCCCAATAATCCTAACGTGTCTTTTAATTTGTATTAATAGAAGTTAACCAGAAGGTGCAAGCTGGTAGGCTGCCTACCGGCAGCATTGGCTTGCCACAGAGGTTTTACAGGGACTAATACTAATCTGAGCGTACATTAAATAACTGCTGTATGTAAAATCCAAATTTCTAGTTTTTCTGGAAAATCAGATCCAGCAAGTCTAACAAAAAAATTTCTGGAGCTGGAAAAGAAACATGAATGAAAATGAACTTCAAATGTTTAAAAAAATATTCCTTCAGGGGTCCAAGGTAGAACCCATGACTCATTCAAAATGAGGGATAACTTCTAATACTTGGGCTTGTCTTAAATGAAATGGGTTGCTTTTGGAAGTAATATGCTTCCTATCACTAGTACAAAGTACTGATACATGTTACAACAGGGATGATCCTTGAAAACTTTATGCAAAGTGCAAGAAGCCTATCACAAAAGGCACATATTATACAATTTCACAGAAACAGAAAGTAGGTTAGTGGTTGCCAGGGGCTGGGGAAAGAGGGGAATTGGGAGTGATTGCTAACAGGTATGGGATTTCTTTTTGGGGTAATGGGAATTTTCTGGAATTAAATCTGATGATGGTTGCACAGCACTGTGAATATTCTAAAAGCCACCAAACTGTACACTTTAAAATGGTTAAATGGTAAATTTTAAGTTACACGAATTTTGTATTAATTAAGAGAGAAAGGTAGGGAAGACCAAATGAGATCGTCCTTATTAACTGCTTAGGATATTATCACGGTAATGTTAGCTACTATTATCAACTTCATTTGATGATAAAGAAATGAAGCCCAGAGAGGGATTAAAGGTTTGGTTTTGTCAAAACAGAGACCCAAGGCTATGATGAGGCAGAGTCAGGACAGGTCCCCAATCTTGCTTGGCTCTAAAGATTACAGGACTGTAATAAACATTCACAGGTAGTGACAGAAAGCTATGGAAAACATTGGGACCAACTGACTAAGCTCCACATTCAGAAAAGGCAGACCACCGACAGACCTGGGTCTGCCAACAATAAAACCTGTTTTTCCAGGTGCAAGTTACAGGCCGAATGAGGAAAGAAGCATCCCCAAAATTCTGCTCTTAAGACTACCCTAGGAAGAGTTGGAACTAATTCTCTGCATTCAGGGACTTTCCTCTAAAATTGTTTTGCCATGCATGTAATCAATATCAAACTTAGGACTTCCTTGGTGCCCAGAACCATGCTCAATACACACAGTCCTCTTTAAAGTCTCTAGATCTCAGAGGCTCCTGGGAGAGGCAGGTTGGGAAGACATGAACTCCAAGAAGGCAAATTTCACTGACAAAGGCTGTATGTGCCTTTGGCCTCTCCCGAGTTTGGTCTTTTCCCTTCGGTGCCCTCCTAACCCTAACAACCCACTGAGGGGCAGAGGGAAAAATCATCTAGCTAGTTCCTGGATGGCTTCGATCAGCAGGTAGGCTTGCTCAGTTGTCAGAGCCCCCCGCCCTCCAATCAGGAGGCTAACCTTTCTTAGAGAACGAACACTAATATTTACTATTTATAGAACACTGAATTGATTGGCCTTATATATAATAAAACTCATTCAGTTTGCTGACCACTATAAGGTGTATATTATCACTACCTTCCTTCCTAGATGTGGAAATAAGTGGTTACAAAAATAGTTTGTCGATTCAACTCTGTTAGGTCTCATGCCCTTTCTACTATGCCACACTATCCTTTTCCGAGGGTCTCCTCATGGTGAGAAATACTCCTTCCTTATATTAAAAGCAATATAATATGGAGAGTAAAGATGTTAGGTTCTGGCAACAAACTGGGGCTTGATTACTAACCAACCATACTAATTATATGACCGCGGGAAGTCACTTAACCTTATTAAGTCTCAGTCACTTCTATAATACACAAATAATACTGGACAACTGTTGTTTGCCTGCCCAGCATCCATTCCCTTTTCCTAATAACACCCGACTTCCTTTTGAGGAATTACTTTTTTCTTACCACAACCTTGTAAAGTATGAACATGTGACTTAAGCTAATACAGTCTTGACATTCCCTCCCTAGAATTTGCATCTCCAGGGAAAAAGAAAGCAAACAGGGCTAGAATTCACTCATTCTAGCAACAGCACCTAAACAGCTAGTCCTGGCTTCAAGAACATTCCTGTGGTCTATCACTGCTGTCCCAGTTCTCTGCAGCCAATCTGGTTCCCATGCCAGATTTTCTAGCCTTCATACTAAATCTGTGAGCCCCTAACATCCTTCTAATAAATTCCCTTTTATTTACATTAGCTGGTCACTTTGTTGCTTACAACCAGTGAACTCCAAATGAAACATTGTCCCATTAGGTTATTGACAGGATAGGGTGGGATTCAACAGATGTAAGCTGACACTACAATCATCACAAGTAAATTTAATATGGACTGACGGTCGTGTTGTAAATATGGTACAAATGACATGAGAGAAAGATTTGCCCATGGACAATGTCCCAGGCCACTTCCTGGCAAAACTATTTTATAATTAGGATAAAAGTCCCACATCCTTAATAGAAAGCTACCTTAACATACCTGACATGGGTCTTCACTACCCATTCTACTCCAGGAAATGCCTCAGGAGTTTTCAATCACCTGAAAATGGATAAGTAAGAGATCAGCCTTTTGAAGAGGAAGTTTTAAAGACATACAAAATAAAAGATAGAGATCCTGCATGCAGTTTACACATTACAGGAGAGAAACATGCAACTTTAAAGAAATTTTAATTAACATTTCATTGTGAATATCAATACGGGGACCTATGGGGCTCATCCTTATACATTTTTAAATAGCTGAGCAGAAAGCTTGACTTTGGGGAGCAGCAGGTCTAATCTACAGTCATTGAAATTTTACAATGTGTCATTTAAGATGTCAGACTTTGTGCCCAGGTTACATTACAGTTCACTTGTGATGGGCAGGATTATTAAGAGTTATGGCTAATTTATGCGGCAGCATATGGTTTTTCTTTTTACAGCTATTTTTTATTAAACAAGTTTTGCAAAGTTTTAACATTAAAATTAACAGCTAAAGAATTGTTTATGCAAGTTGCTGTCACAGTTTATGTAAAAGAGAAATATGTGCTATTAAAATCAGACATTTAGGTTACCTTTGGTTTTTTGCGATGCATGTTAGCTTTACACATCCTGATTCTCTTGCGATAATTTTCCTTTAAAAAGGGGGGTATAGAGTGATCTCTTTTCATCAAAACAAGACATAATGCCCTGAAAGCTGACTTCAAACCATGGTTGAAAATTCAGTTATTTACACTTTATCACAATCTACAAATACATTTTTTTGTTGGTGTGTTTTAAAAAGAAAAAAAATGTCCATCATGCACTGCTGCAGGCAGCTTGGCACTTCATACAAGAGGATTTTTCACCCCCGAGCAGTTTAGGTGGCTCCCTTAGGAAAGACATGAGAACCCTGAGAATGAACAGAGGAGTGGAAACAGGGCCAACCAATTCCATCATTTCCTCTCTTGGTCTCTCAGGAGGGAGTTCAGAGCCAGCCTATCATGCCAGATCCTGCCCCAGCCCAGCTGATTTGTTAACAGCGTTTCTGGGATCGGAAGGGAAACCCTTAAGGGCGCCCAGGGTTTGCTGAATTGTCATATCTGAAGGCAGGTGCTATCCCTTTCCAAGCTCATGGAGATTATTTGGTGTCACACTTAGGGCCACCTAGGGGCTCTAGAGAGGTGCAGGCGAGGGTGGCTGGCACTTTAAACACTGAGGCCTATGTACAGAAACCAATCCAAGTTTCGGCTCAGTTGGGTTTTTCTCTCCAGAAATTAGAGCTTGTGATAGGATGGGATAAAACTGCTGTCAACAACTTCCAGGGGGTGAAAAAGCTTTGGTTATTTTTAAACTAAAACTTAACAACTCGATAAACTTTTTTTTGGTAAACTTAAAATAAAATCCCCCCCACCACTTTTAAGAATGTCTCCATTTTTTTTCAAGCCCATTAACTTTAGAGTTAATTTAAGTTTATTTGAAAGAGAAAACTATTTTATTGTCCACCCAAAAAAATGACAATTCATCACATTTACTTTGATTAAAAAAGGACTAAACTTTATTGACAAACTGCTGCAGACATTTTGACATAAGTTTAAGCTACCTATTTAGGCAGACTTACACATGTAGCATTTAATCTTCCAAGAACAAAATGGGAGGACGGTACAAATCCAATTAGGACTTTAACTTATGTACAAAGTGGATTTTGATTCCTTTTTTCATTCAGCTGCAGTGTCCCTTTTTATATCATGCTAGTGTTGAGACATACTTGACTAACTACCTTGGGAACAGTTCAATATTGACAACCGTCAACTTAAAAAAATCATCAGCTTTTGGTTCCAGTGTCCAAGTGAGCTTTTCATGGAATGCAGAACCTCAGAGGGACAAAACACTTTGTCTTTTTAAATACTGAAATTTTAATTATTAGTACGATTACTGAAGGATTTTTCATGGCTGAAAAGCTCTGCATCAAATTCAATCCAGGTGGCCAGCCCCTTTCCCCGAATCCACCTCTTCAAAACCTACTCCCCACTAAGTATCTCTCAACACTGTATGTCTGGGGCTAGATTTCAAAACCCACATAATGAAAAAGTCAGTTTTACAAACCTAATTTTGTTGTTGTTTTAAATCAATTAACGTTAAAAATTGCATCAACTATTTAATTCATGAGGATCTTTTTTTTTAAAATTTAACCTTAAGATTCAACCGCCATGTGCTTTTAAAGGAAACATTTTTAGAGACGTCTGAGCTCACTTTTACATGGTGGCACCTACTGCCGTTAACGTTTGTGATTTTAAATCTTAAACAGCCCTGAATTTTGAAATGTAGCCTAGTTTGGGATTCTGCAACTACAACTTTACGGGATGCCTCAAATCAAAACTAAGAGAAAGTTAACAAGCCTTAAACTTCAGAACCTTTAAGCAAGCAATGTCACTTTTGAAACTAACAGGTTTGTGGTTTTTTTTTTACTCAACTTCTTCTTTTTATTATAAAAGGTACATTTCTGTTTATATTTAAACAACAAAGAAAAAAGCATCTACACACTTAAAAAATTAATTCGATATTCCTAAATCTATTTTAACTCATTTTAAAATACTACATACAGAAGCCAGAATGCAGAGTTAAGAATGGAGTAAGGTGGGGAGAAGAAGGGGACCACGAAGAAAAACACTTAGACAATTACTTGTCTGTTGTGGGTAAAGCAACAGGAATCCTGGGAGATACAAGAAATCAGTAACAACTTTGCTCATAACTGATATTTTCCCCTCATGTTTGTTTTTAATAACGTCCATATGGGTGCTCTCTGTATGCTCCCTTCACTGGCCTAGCTGGAGGGGCCTTCAGCGACGGCCTGGTCCCATTCCAGTCGTCTTGGCCTGTGAGGAAAGCAAGAACAGTTTGTAAACCATGTGCTATTGGCATTTTGGGATGAGCAGGAATAGGTCAAATGGTAAAGATCACCAAAAACACTGCTTTGCTTCCAGGGTCTTCCATGTCCCAGTGGTCCCTGCTTTTAGCTCTGCTTGGCCCTCCTGAACAGCTTAATTTCCCAGCTGTAGGGCAATTTTGAGTGGACAGACAGAAGGAAACAGCTCAAAGGCCTGGAGTCATCTTTAGCAAAGAGGTTCTCCACAGGCAACATGATCTCTACTCCAGCCCCCAAACGTGACGAACCCAACACTTTGCTTGAGACAGTGAGGAAATGAATCTTAGTAGGTCTGCAATGCCCTTTTTCCTGTTCCCAAAGGAACTGGGGAGAAAGCCTCAGGTAATGTGGCAACTTTGGGAAGTCTTTCAGACTGGAAGCAGGTAGCTCCTTTCCAACAGCAAGTCAGGTTTCCCTGTTGAAAAGTGTCCTCTGGCTCTCTGGGAGAAGCAAGCAAGGGCCACATTTCATGAGGCTTCCCGACCAGGAGAGCTGGTCCACTGCTCTGGCAAAGGGAAGTACAGTTCAATGTGCTTATAGCAATGATATGGAAAATTCATGGTTTCCTTTCTCATGCAATAGTCCCGAGAAGCCAGACAACATGGTTGACATCCTCAAATGGCTTTCTTTTGTTACGGGGAAAAGCCTGAGGGAAATGATCGCTTACTTCTATAGCTGACCTCTCATGAAAAGGAGTTGCATTTATGAGCTTATTCTTCCCACTCACCCTCATACTTTACCCATGCCAGTTCATCCCCGAGGTATTTCTCCAGCTGCCTGCATTCACTAAAGGTCTAAAGCCTCTATATGGACCTGAAGTCCCACAGAGCCCTACCTAAGTCTGTTTATACTCTTAGTATAATAGGTACATCCATCACTTTCCAAGTGGCTTCTGGTCCTAACAAGACAGTTTATTTTTGTAATCCTGTTTATAAAGGCAGAAATCATAACTGATTAACTGTGGCAACAGCACACCAGGAGCAAGAGAGGCAGCCGGCCTCTTTCAGTTCAGTCTCTTCTCTGGCAAAACAGAAATGTAATTCAGTCAAACACATACAGAAGCCCCATTGTGCTGCCTCACCGATGGGAGGGAAATACCCTGGGGCAATCCCACTGCCCTTCTAAATAGTGGCCTACCAGCAGAGCAGTGTAGTGTTACTGATGGCAACTGTCCAGTACCCTTTAGCTAGAACTGGTAAAAAGTGTTTCCCTAGCCAAGCAGCTGACTGGCTACTACAAACTGTGCTGAAGAGTTAAGCTCAGCTTGTCTGTCTATGGGAGCTCCAAGAGGCTCCCTATTCCCTCTTTTCAGCTAGGCTAAGGTGGGGAGGGGGACCACACGACACTGTTAACTAGTGTCTTAAGATGAACTGTCAATTGCTGAGCCCCTGGCCAAGGACTCTGGAATTCCCTCAGGTATGTTGAAAATACCCTGCATTTAAAAGGCTGCTCTCCCTGCACCCACTGCCACATGGCACTCCCTCTGGGGCCCATTAACATGGGGTCATAATTGGCTCTTGAGGACACTCTTGAGCAATGTGTTTTCAACTAAACCTCAGGGAAGACAACTTGGTCCTGCTGTCATTTCAGCCTCTATAACTCTCCTGGGATCAAGAACTGAGTTGAGATTTCTCCAAGCCAGTAAGGAGCTTGGTGCCAGTACTGCCCTGAATTGGCCCCAGCCCCTACCACCTCAGATCTGAGACTGACGGGCACGATTCTTGCACCCAACCTGCTTTTGGCTAGCTACTTGCCATCTAGTTCCCTTTCAGCTAACATTTCCCCTACACTGAGATTCTTTTCAATGAGATCCAAAATTGTTCTTAAAAATGAAGTGGGGCCAGGTGCCTGGGTGGCTCAGTTAAGCGTCTGTCTTCAGCTCTGGTCATGATCCCAGGGTCCTGGGATTGAACCCTGCGTTGGGCTCCCTGCTCAGTGAGGAGTCTGGTTCTCCCTCTCCTTCTGCCCCTCTCACCTGCTTAAGCACACTCGTTCTCTCTTTCAAAATTAATAAATAAAATCTTAAAAAAGAAAATGTGGTGGGGCTGGAGAATAAAATTGGATATGATGAAGTTCTTAGTATGTACCAATGTGGCCTAGGTACCAAGCGCAAAGGCCCTGCCACATGACCTAGGCCTGGCAATCTCTCCTGGTCTAAAGTAGAAAAAGATCAACATAAGCTTAAAAGTTTGCAGCTCCAACCAGGCCAAACAGACATTTAGTTTAAGACATGTGCTTAACTTTCCAAGAGTAACTCCATCTCACTTTAAGAGCCCCTCTTTCTATGGCACACCACACAAATTCAATAAGAACGGGATGGCTACTGTCACATCTACCAACATCTCAGCTTTCTAAAGGCTTTTTGGGTGTGTGCCTGGTAGCCCCCAATAAACCAGCCACTAGCACTCCTGCAGGCACTTACTTGCACATTCTGCCCACCATGGAAATAAAGACATACCATAAGCTTCATAAGAATCTTGAACCTCCCCATGTCCATAGTCATAATATTCTGAGTCCCTGAAAGCCAAAGACAGAGTGTTAGAGAGCTACAGAGTGACTCTATTTCCATTTCCCCTTCCTCCCACATTTCAGGCATTTTACTACATGTGAGACAGGAAAATGCTCATTTTGCCCCATCTCCAAACCAAAAAATATTTCCAAAACACGTATGTGCTATGTATTTAAACAGACAAAAAAACTTACAACCATAGCAAAGAAAAATGGATATCACATAATTTAAAGTGGAAAAGCACAATCCAAAACTGACCATCTTAATCATAGTGTACACACACACATACACACACACATTCATAGGGCTCACTGGAAGAGAATAAACAAACATGCTGTTCTGTCCCCACTGTACAATTTTGAAATACTTTTTCAATCAATCACAGATAAAATACATATACACAAAAACGTTATTTAAGACGAGTGCAGAAAATAAGGTAAGTTATGGTAGTAGGATTCTAACTTCCTTTTAAACTTTTATGTACCTTTAATGTGGCAATAATACATCAAAACAATTTAAAAGCATTTTCCCTTCATTTCCATGTGGTCACAGCTCAGGAATTTTTCATCTGCTATTCCCAGATTCTATACTATAAATTAAGACTCAGTTATCTAAGCTTACAGATCTGTGTGCCTTGCAGACGTGGAAAGCAAAGGAGATACCCTCTAGAGGGGAACCACACTGCTCCTTAGATGTGTGCTACCTAAATCTCTCGGTTGCTCCAACTCCTTCCCCATCCATCCCTAGGACATGCAATAGCACTTCTATTGCCTGACTTACCCTTGGCTCTGGCTGTAATAGCCTTCGTAGCCTTCATAACTTTGTTCTGCATATGTGTCATCATATCCCTAGAACAAATAAAATAAAATAGAAAGTCAGACTCACACAGAGTAGGGAAGGTAATTACATCCCATGGGAGGAAGGTAAGGCTTCTAGATTAACAGAATGCAGAATTTTCCTCCAAAATTAACAACAACTGGGGAATAGTTGACAGAGAAAGGGTTTAAAAAAAAAAAAAAGAAACAAAACTGAACCACCAACCAAACCAAACCACCCTTCAAATTGTGGGCAGGAAGCAAGGTAAAATGTTGAACTTGAGCATTATCAGTAGTACTAGTGAAAAGACCCCTTACTAAAACACTGTGTATTTATCAAGGCACAGCCTATTTGCTGTTTAATCTATTCACACATAGTAAACTATGCTTAAAATGGAAAAATCTTCTGAGTTTAACATTCACCGCAAAAGAAGAGACCAGACTCCAGATCTTATAGGTAGTCCCTGCCACCTACATCAAGGGCCAATGCCCTATCACTCAACTTCCTCTGGCCACCTTCTAGGTCTTGGGAAATGGCGCACTGTTCGAACTTCTTACATAGTCCTCGTATGTTTCTGGTGCTGGGGGTGGAGGCAAAGGTATCCTCTGGATGCCTGCTGTCCGTGCTCTCGGTGCTGGGGCACCCCTCACCGTAGGTGGGGGTGGGACTCCTCGAGTTACGGTGGCACCTCTGGTGATGGCTCCTCTCACTGGTGTACCACGCACCAAAGCCCCCCGAGGTGGTCCAACACCACGGCCCCTGCAAGAAGAAAATTTATTATTTTTTAAAGATTTTATTTATTTATTTGAGAGAGAGAGAATGAGAGAGAGAGCTTTTTTTTTGGGGGAGGGTCAGAGGGAGAAGCAGACTCCCTGCCAAGCAGGGAGCCCGATGTGGGGACTCGATCCAGGGACTCCAGGATCATGACCTGAGCGGAAGGCAGTCGCTTAACCAACTGAGCCACCCAGGCACCCGAAGAAAATTTATTTTAAATGGAGCTTTTTTTTTTAAGATTTTTTTTTTAATTTATTTATTTGACAGAGAGAGAGAGACAGCGAGAGGGAGAACAGAAGTAGGGGGAGTGGGAGAGGGAGAAGCAGGCTTCCCGCAGAGCGGGGAGCCCGATGTGGGGCTCGATGCCAGGACCCTGGAATCATGACCTGAGCCGAAGGCAGACGCATAACGACTGAGCCACCCAGGCGCCCCTAAATGGAGCTTTTAATACATAGATAATACTTTCATGTTCAGACCTGTTTGCAAATCCTGGAGCTAGACAGATTTCACAATGCCTTAAGTAAACTAGTATTAAAATACAGGGGAAAAAACAAACAAAATCCCCCCAAAAACCCCCAGTGGACTATATGGGTGGGTAAAGGACCCATCCTGGAGACTCCCCAGGTTCCACAACAGACCTATGAATGTTTCATCAGTGGACTATGGAAAATCTGAACACTCCATAAAGGTCAGTCACAAAAGGCAAAATTCTAAAGCCAGAGACCATTTTAAAATGCTAGAACTGTCCAAAATTAAAAGACCAAAAGTTTCAACAGGACTGCTGCACTTGACTATGGCCAAAGTACCTAAGACCTACTTATTCCACTCTTTTTTTTTTTAAAGATTTTTTTTATTATTTGAGACAGAGAGAATGAGAGAGAGACAGAGAGAGAGCGCACATGAGAGGGGGGAGGGTCAGAGGGAGAAGCAGACTCCCTGCCGAGCAGGGAGCCCGATGTGGGACTCGATCCAGGGACTCCAGGATCATGACCTGAGCCGAAGGCAGTTGCTTAACCAACTGAGCCACACAGGCGCCCTACTTATTTCACTCTTGATGGTATAAATCCTGAGGCCCCCTTCTAAGCTGCAGGTAAGAGCACCACTAAGAGAGAAATGGTACTGGCCAAATTTACATCCTGTTTCTAGTTGTCTCCATTATTTTTACCTGGGAACAGGTGGAGGAGGAGGTGCAGCTCCTCGGCCTCTCACTGGCACCCCACGTCCACGAGAGGGCTCCGGTACTCCATTCAAATAGGAGAGCTCTAGAAACTGCTCCTGGCAGATATCATCCATCATATCCTGCAAACGAAAGAGAATAAGGATTACTGGGCCACATCTCCACCTTCTGCTGAGAAGCTGTCCAGCCCACATAAGCCTTGGATACTAAGACCAGCTCTGAATGCCTGGATGAAGTCTCAGGTCATGCATTCTCTGAAGTCAAATGGCACCCTACCTGTCACCTCTTCAAGGAAAGTCCTGATGGCAGACCCCTCATTATTCAGCTGAAGATCTTCATAATTAGTCCCTACCTAGCTCTCCAGATCACTTCCAGCCACTCTCCATGGATAACCTCCTTTCAAGCCATGTGGAACAACTTGTAGTTCAGAACCTGGCATACTTATACACCCATTCTTGCAAATAGCTTCCTCTTCCTAGGATAGTAAAAGCCACTACCGTTAATTAAGCTCTACATACTGGACACTTTACAATAACCTCTCTATAGATTTTGCAGTTTAATCTTCAAGATAACCCTGAAGTAAGTAGGCAGGTCTTCCCATTTTACAGTTGGGAAAAAAGAATCAGGGCATATAAAGCCACCAACCTAGGGACATACAGTTAGTAAGTGGCAGACTTGATGTGAATTCAGAATTATCTGTGTCCAAAATTTAGGCTTTGAATGACTGGACTACATTGCCTTTTTTGTCTACCTGAGAGACTAACTCATTCTTACAAGACTTAATCTAAAATATTACCTCTTTTGAGAAAACTTTCCTTGATGCCACCCCCACTCCCTCCTCTTTTTCCACAGCACCGTGTAATTTTCTCTACCCAAGCACTTACCACGTCATTCTAGAATTGTCTTTCTCACTAGATTGTGAGAAAGGAGCCATTTTTGTTACTTCAGACCCAAGCAGAGTATTAGGCACCTACCAGATACTTAACAAATGTTTGGGATGAACAAGGAACCTGAGGCTCAGAAAAGTGAAATAATAACTTGTCCAAGATGACGCGGATAAAGGTCCCAGTCCAGTGCTCTTCCTACTGTACCAGGAAGCCTCTCTGGTACAGTTAATGGTTCTAAGGGGAAAACGGAGGCTCTGGTCATGGATGCAAAAATAGGCTCACTTTTTTTTTTCTTCACAAGAGGGAAGAATTGAGTCAAATGCCATTTGCAAATCTTTTCACATATTTCCTGATGAGAGCCATTCAGTTTTAATACTCCATGCTTTTTTATATATCCCAGGTGGATAGAGCTTCAAGAATAGAAGATTCTAGTCACCAGAGAGATGCCCCCCCACCCCAACTCTTCACCTCCTCCTACCTTACACATTACTGCTGCTTGAGACCCACCCTGGAGAATCAAGTGACCAATGACAGCCCATTTGCCTAGATTCTTCCAAATGCTACACCAACACTGAGGAAACCCAGATATGCCTGGCAGGCATCTTTTTAGAAGACCACTTACATGAAAGCCTTGTAAAGCTATCCCTTTTGAGAAATATGCTGAGAGTAAGGATAAAGAAGAGATGGGCATTCCCCTACAGTCCTTCAGAAACTGGGTGGCTCAGGATGCTTCAATAGAACACCTCAAAAAGAGTAAAAAGAACTCTCTCAAGGGAAAATTTACCAGCTCTGAGGTCGTCTCTAAGATATTTTAAATCGGCTGTTTCATGTTTGAACATTCTAAAGAAGACGAGGTACTTGGAAGCAACAGCTGCTGAGACATCTGAGACAGTGTTGGAATTCTTAGAGCTCAGCATTATAGGTACACACTGCCTCTATATTTTTGCTCTATCAATTCTCACATCCTCTGACACCACATTTAGTTCCAACTCCTCATTTTGCGTACACAAGAAAGCCAAGAACTGCATCTCACTCTCTTAGTTTTAGTGATGAAAACAGGATGCTTACTCAATTCTAGTTAAGAGTATTTCTCATGCTTCCTAAGGTTCCAGATTCATCCTTGGTTATTAAATATTCAACTGTAGTATGTTAATTCTGACAACTAGTAGGTCTTACTGAGCAAAAATCACACCATTTTCTACTTATTCAAAGAATGGATCCTCTGACCAGGTGGTAATAAGCAAGAAGGGTAACCTGGTCTGTCCCAACTCTTCAAGGGCCTCAGTTACACTCTGAAAGGAACTGCACACCTATTTGTTTAGTATCATCAACAGTCAAGCCTATAACAATTATGCCTCTTTCAAATCAAACTCTATGTAAGAAATTCCTCCAGGAGAGAAAGCCCTGAATGCACCCTGGTCAAAATTTAGTCTATTAACATTGGATGCTAGAAGGCTCTTGCTGTTATGTTCTACACTCTCTAGAGTCTAGAACATAAACCCTTGAGTACAGGGGGTTTATGACCATCTTAGCCATTGTCTTATCATAACCTCCTGGTTCCACACTAACACCAACACACTTAGCTCAGTGAAGACCCTGTTAAATCTTTGTTAACCAAATGTTAACATGCCAGACACACTGTGGACCTAAGATACTAACAACAGATCCTGGTATATAACTAAAACCACATTAGACAAGGACGGGTAGAGTGGCTTTGGGGCACGGTGTTTTGAGAACTAGGTACAAGTAACACACTACCTCAAAAAAATGAACATAAATACAGAATTTGGTATGCAATTTCAGGTTATGCAGAGGTCAAAAAAAAGAACCCCTGCCTTATTAGCAACAGCACAAGATCCCAGTTCTCTCTTGCTCAAAGATATAGAATGTGGATTTCCTTACTGGTACTAGGAACTTCTTGACTTCCTCCATAGCATGGGCCATAAGAGCATAAGCCTCACATGGGGGTCCAAAGACTTCAATGAAGACATGCAGATCCATATTCAAGTGGGCATATTTCGGGTCTCCACCTTTGCGCAGTTCTTCCTCCTATGGAAAAATGCAGAAAAACATCACATCACATGGAATGGGAGAAAATGACACTGTTACCTCCAGCCCAAAGAGATAGCAAGAAATAACCTAAAAATCTAAGAAAAACAGCAAAGTGTGAGAAGAAAGCAAAACAAGGTCCGGAGAATAGTAATTCACACAACTTGCTAAACCTGTAATCAGTCTGCTACCAAAAGTTAACCACTGTCTTGAATTCCTGGTGTATTCACTGCAGCTCTTATTAGAAGGTGTAGAAGAAACTTTTTTTTTTTTTTAAAGATTTTATTTATTTGACAGAGAAAGACACAGTGAGAGAAGGAACACAAGCAGGGGCAGAGGGAGAGGGAGAAGCAGGCTTCCCGCTGAGCAGGGAGCCCGACACGGGGCTCGACCCCAGGACTCTGGGATCATGACCTGAGCCGAAGGCAGACGCTTAACATCTGAGCCACCCAGGCGCCCCGAAGAGAGAAACTTAATTCCAGTCTTCATTCAGGTATCAGCTGTTTGCCAAGCATGCATGCACTCATTCACTGCCAAGCATTTGCTTTTAAATCCCAGGTAGTGCTGTTAAGTACCAGCTTTTTTTTTTTTTTAATTTTAAATAAATAAATAAATTTATTTACTCATGGGGGGAGCCAAGGGAGGGGAAGAGAGAATCTTAAACAAGCTCCATGCCTAGTGTGGAGCCCAAAGCAGGGCTTGACCTCACAAACCCTTATATCATGACCTGAGCCTAAACCAAGAGTCTGATGCTTAACTGACTGAGCCACCCAGGTGCCCCTAAACTTTTTTAATTTATTAAGTAATCTCTACCCCCACTGTGGGGCTCAAACTCACGACTCCGAGATCAAGAGTCGCATGCTCTACTAAGCCAGCCAGGTGTCCCAGCACCAGCTCTTCCTATTTGCTTATATGGTCTGGGGAGTTATAGGGGAGGAAAAAAGTCAGGATAGAGTGAAGAAAATCTCAAGTAAATCTCATTAGGTAGAATAACATACTTCAGCCCTAAGTGTATTCATCTAATGAGAAATGTGAGTGGACAAAAGAAGAGGCTCTGAGAAAACAATGTTTGTCAATTTAGGTTGCAAAAAAGAGCCCTGAATGACTAAATTTTTAGGCTGTACCTGGTATGTCTCATCTAAAAAGCTGACTCTAGAAGGCTAAGACTATTCTGTTTTGATAGGAATTTTTTTGAAACTTATAAAGAATACAAAGCCCATGGGGCTATGACTTGAAAAAAAAATCAGGATTAGGTTCTGTTGTCAGGATTACTCATGGTTCCTTTTGAAATACTTTCTTTTAGGGGTGCCTGAGTGACTCAGTCATTAAGCGTCTGCCTTCAGCTCAGGTCATGATCCCGGGGTCCTGGGATCGAGCCCCGCATCGGGCTCCCTGCTCAGCGGGAAGCCTGCTTCTCCCTCTCCCACTCCCCCTGCTTGTGTTCTCTCTCTCTGGCTGTGTCTCTTTCTGTCAAATAAATAAATAAAATCTTAAAAAAAAAAAAGAAATACTTTCTTTTAGTGTTCTTTACATTCCAGCAGGCTATTAAAAAACCCAGACAACTAATTCTCAGACTCACCTGCACTCAAAACATTATTGCTCTCACTTTTATGTGTTACTGGAAAGGGAATATGCTGTTCACATTTTAGTGTCTTTCGTCTGGATCAATTTTAGTATATCCAGCTCCCCTTCCAAGTTTTCATAGACGAGCTTATAAATGTGAAAGTTTGCTACTGCTGCTTCCATTACTATGCAGTCAAAAGTCAGGAAAGAGACAATCACCAGGGCACACCTAGGCTCTTCCAGGGTTGCCGAACAAGTAAGTTAACCTGGTCTATAATCTCTTACAGCCAACACAAATTTAAGGGATTCACATTCTGTACAAGTGCTGGCTTCTTGAAGGCATTGTCTTCTTGCCTCACTGACAGGAGCTTACCTTGGCTTTGTCTCTCATTGAGCCCTTGCCCAGCACAGAGATCTTTGCACCTGTCTCTTCTTGCAGTCTTTTGATTGTATTCCCTTGTGGCCCGAGGATCTTCCCCACAAAATTGAACTGACAGAAAATAAAAATAGATTTCTCAATACACGTGCTCCTATAAAACATTTCCACATGTATTATCTCATTTGATCTTCAACAACCCTGTAAAATAGGGGGCGTATTACCATTCCCATTTTACTGTAGGATATGCTGAGGATAGACTGAAAAAAGTGAACAGTCTAACATTACACTAGAAAGCAGCAGTTCCTAGACTTGAACTTGGGTTTCCTGATGTAGTCAGGTGCTCTTTCCAAACTATCACACTGCAACCCTTAGTACTTCAACACACATAAGTATTTTTAAGGCAGTGACCTCAGAACAGAACAGACATATGGCATTCTTTTGTAGTACTTGTTTCATCAACTAAATAGAACTAATTTCTTTGCTTTAAAAAAAAGGAAAAAAGGAGGAGGAGGAGGAGAAAAACAAGAAAGCATTTATTTAAAAGTAAAACACTGAGTAAGAAATAAAATTAACTTCATCTAGTCAAGGATTTGTGTTACATTTCCTGTATTTAGATTGTGCGTCAATCTTTCTCCCCCCATGTCAATCTTTCGACAGAGGGCAACTCTTCAATTTTTTTCTTTGAACTTGGAGCCTGAACAAACACTTGAGAAAGAAACTCTTTTTGGTAATAAAAAGTTGGTTATATTTCCTTCCTAGCTATAGGTATGCTGTTACAGACTTAGATGTTTCAACTGCCAGAAACAAGTACTGCAAGTACGGTAGAGAAGCTTCACAGGCTCAAGGACCTGATGCATCACAACTTCCAGAAGTCTTTATTTCAGCCCATGGCTCTCACACCTACAAAGACAACGAAGTGAGTGAGGCACTTTATGCCTTACCTTGGGATACTGCTTGACAGGTATCAGTACCCGCTCCTTCAGCTTCATGTTCTTATGAGAAAATAAATCCAAGTAATTCTCCTCATCGTCTTTTTTTGAATCTCCTTTCTGAATCTTCTCAATTTCTGGATAAGACAAACACAGTTTAGTTTGTTCTGGTATCTAGACGCAAAGTTCCAAGTCTGCATAAAGCAGTAACACAGTAGAAGACCAAAGAGTTCAGACGTATGGAGTTGACTAGGAAACCCAAAGGCTGCGTCTCATGAAAGCAGTTTGCTCTTCCATCCCCACCTGAAGCCTCTACACCAGAGCCATTCAAATGTTTCTCAAGAATAAGTGAATTTAACAAAACCAATGCAGAGAGATGGGGAAAAGGGGATAAATGAACTAAAAATAAAGTCTACATCAAACAAAAAAAAAGCACAAAGTCGTATCTTTATGAAGAAACAAAGGTCAGTAATTTAAATAAAAAAAAAACAGGGGCGCCTGGGTGGCTCAGTTGTTAAGCGTCTGCCTTCGGCTCAGGTCATGATCCCAGGGTCCTGGGATCGAGCCCCGCATCGGGCTCCCTGCTCGGCAGGAGGCCTGCTATTCTCTCTCACTCCCCCCGCTTGTGTTCTCTCTTTCGCTGTGTCTCTCTCTGTCAAATAAATAAATAAAATCCTAAATAAATAAATAAATATACAATGAACAGTCCTATTAAAATTCCATTGTGACGTAGTGCTTTGGATGACAGTCCTTAAGAGTTTTGAAAAGTTATTTAATTGCTCTAATTTTTGGTTTCCTCATCTGTAAAATGGAAGCAATATCTACCTCATGAGGTTGCTATAAAGACTGAATAAAATAACATGTACACATACTAATTACAGCCCATTTCCTAGGAAGTGCTTAAGCGTCAACATTATCTAGCCCAAATTCAGTCAATGTCCTAAAGGAAAACATGCACTGAGGTACTTTCAATTCACAGGTTAAGATAGTTTCATCAGATATAACCTTAGTATCCAAAAAGATTCCCTTCACTGGAAGCATCTGAGTGCTTTCTATGGAGAGGCAGATGAAGGGAGAGATACAGGTATGATCATTAACCACTATGCGAGACTTACTAAGGCCAGGCATCCATCCTATAAAGTATAGGAGATATGGCAGAACAAGTCCGATTTAATCCCCATCTTCACTATGTTTATACACTGACACTCCCAGTCTACAAAGATGGCAATGAAGTACACTTCCAAGTGCTACAACAGGAGTACTAACAGAGATGGGGCAGAGTGTGTGCAGGCAATGAACAGCAACTAAAATGTTACATGGTCCACTGATAACAGTCAAAAAAAGAAACGTATACTCCCTTAAGTCAGTGGAACATTCTAATGAATGCAGAATAAAAAAATATATTATCCCCATACTATGTTTCTATCTTCTACAATTTTTTCTTCTATAATTTTTTAATAGATTTTATTTGAGAGAGAGAGAGAGTGTGCCCTAGCATGGGAAGGAAGGGTGCAGAGGGAAAAGGAAAGAATCTCAAGCAGACTCCTGGCTAATCAGGGAACACAAGGCAGGGCTCGATCTCACAACCATGAGATCATGACCTGAACTGTAAGCAAGAGTTGGACGCCCAACCGACTGAGCCAACCAGGCACCCCTCTATCCTCTATAATTTTAAGGTAAGGGTTCTCAAACTTCAGTATGCATCAGAATCACCTAGAGGGCTTGTTCAACTAGATTGCTGGGCCCCAACCCCAGTCTGGGATTTGTGTTAGGAATCTGCATTTCTAGCAAATTACCAGGTGATGCTGATATTGCTGATCTAGGAACCACACTTTGAAAGCCACTGGTTTAAGGTATAAAGATGTATTACTTCAGGGGCACCTGGCTGGCTCAGTGGAGCATGAGACTCTTGATTTCGGGGATGTGAGTTCGAGCCCCACATTGGGTGTGGAGATTACTTAAAAATAAAATATTAAAAAAAAAAGATATACTACTTCAAACACATTGTGCAAACCCATGCCTTTAACAGTTTTTAAAAATAACTGCTTAGGGGCGCCTGGGTGGCTCAGTCGTTAAGTGTCTGCCTTCGGCTCAGGTCATGATCCCGGGGTCCTGGGATCGAGCCCCGCATCGGGCTCCCTGCTCAGCGGGAAGCCTGCTTCTCCCTCTTCCACTCCCCCTGCTTGTGTTCCCTCTCTTGCTCTCTCTCTCTGTCAAATAAATAAATAAAATCTTAAACAAAACAAAACAAAAAACTGCTTAGATTAAGTCCGGCTATGAAGTATACAGACGAAGGAAAGTCACTCTGATTCTGACAGACTTCATAAGAGTTCAGAATTTCAAACTGAAGGCTTCTGCTTATTAAAAAGCCTAATTTCAGATGTTATAGAATATGGTGAGCTAACTGACCTGTTTATGCCCAAAAGCACATACTCCCTTGCTTTCTGACAATTAGAACTGTTGACAGAGACAGAGAGCAGCAGAGGGAGAGGGAGAAGCAGACTCCCTGCTGAGTAGGGAGCGGGGCTCGATCCCAGGACCCCAGGATCATGACCTGAGCCAAAGGCAGACACCTAATGACTGAGCCACCCAGCGTCCCACCCCATATTGTAAATATTCTTTTTTTTTTAATATTTTTTATTTATTTGAGAGAGAGAGAGAGGCAGAGAGAGAACTTTTTTTTTTGCAGGGAGAGAAGGACAAGCAGACCCCTCTGGGGGAGCCTGCTGTGGGGCTCGATCCCAGGACCCCGAGACCATGACCCAAGCCGAAGGCAGACGTCCAACTGACCAAGCCACCCAGGCGCCCCCCCCATATTGTAAATATTAACTAAACCTTTACTCCTATGAGAAGAACTGTAGATGACAGTGCTCTTCACACTATGTTTCATCGCTTGAAAGAGAGAACAAATTTGACCTTAAAATTAACAGACTAAATGCTTCATTCAACACCCTATTTGTTTGCTGTTTTACTGGTGGTATATCCTGACCTCTATTCTGCCCTCCCACTTAACTGCTAATATTAGCTTTTTCTAGTCACTAGTTTTGAGCCTACCATCTCTGAATACATCTCTTCTTCTTCTTTTTTTAAAGATTTTATTTATTTATTTGACACAGAGAGCGAGAGAGGGAACACAAGCAGGGGGAGTGGGAGAGGGAGAAGCAGGCCTCCCGCCGAGCAGGGAGCCCGATGTGGGGCTCAATCCCAGAACCCTGGGATCATGACCTGAGCCGAAGGCAGACGCTTAACGACTGAGCCACCCAGGCGCCCCTGAAAACATCTCTTCTTGAGTTTCCAGGCTGAAAAATTGGGTACTCAATCCTCAAAAATCCTAGGAACAAAGATGCCACATTTGTGATCTGAAAACATCACCAAAGAGCTTCTAAAAATGTGGAACAAATTACATGCTTCATTTTAAATGTCTGTGTGTCCTAATTGCTACCATCTAGTTAGGCCCTTCAACTATATTTTATAGCACTTTCCAGAAACTTTACTTGGCCAGCGCAAGAAGGTAAGACTCAAAGCCTGTTAATCTGTTGTCCTCCTACAGAAGGAGAGCTGCAAAAACCGAAGCCAGGAGAAAGGTGTTTTATGCAGTGTAATGCACCCTGTACATTTAAGGCCTTTCTTTCTATAACATGGATCTTTCTGTTACACTTTGCACTAATCATATCTTAATTAGAATCCCTTTGTCCAGTTTATCTCACAATTTTTAAAAGAATATTAAAGCATTTTTAGAGAAGTTCCAGAAGGATGATTTAAATAAAACTGAGCTTTAAAAAGATAAAAGAATCAGGGGAGTTTAGCCTAGAAAGCAAAACACAAAGAGGAAACTTGAAGTCTTCAAGAGGGCTCATCTTCCATGTTTGGAAGGGAAAGGACTGAATATTCACTCAGTGTCTACTATGTATCAAACACCGTACAAATATTACCTCATTTATCCTACAAAATAACTCAGTAAAGTAGCTGGACCATCCCCATTTTACAAATGAGGGAACAAACTCAGAAAAAAGTTTCTAAATCACAAAGCTGTTAAAGTACCAGAATAAGGATCAAACCCCAGGCTTTCTTTTAACTTCAAACCTCATGCTTTTATTACTGCCTCTCGATGAAGAGTTTCTAAAGTGGGGGAGGGGGGACTTTACTTAAGCAAGGAAGAATTGATTTTGTAAAATTTTGGGTATAGTTTATACCCTCAGACACTGTCATGTGGTTAAAGTCCATGAAAGGACTCTGTGGGTGCTTCAGAGGTTCAGTAGCCTGATCTTGTTTTTCTTTTCTTTTCCAATTCTCTATTTCTCTCCTTGGACTTACTTTTCTTAAGAGAGCCTGGAGTAGGTTGTATTGGGAAGAAAAAAAAAATCAAGGAGAAGCTTCCTAAAAATGGTTTCACCCTCAGGCAACAGTACTTTCTAGACAACTTTTTTGAGACTAATTCCTTTAATAGATCTTTGCTTGGGCCTCTAGAGACCTTAGATGTCCCAAGAGCCAAAGAAAGGAAAGCTAAAGTGTAAACAACACAGAGAGGTGACCCATTTGTTTTCTAGCCAGGCGCTTACAAAAATCGTATTTCATCCCGTGCCTCTGTGTGTCAGGAATTTTGTATTTATTGTTTCATTTTGTCTTTATAACCAGGACTATCCTTATTTAACAAGTGCAAAAACCTGGGCTCAGAAAAGTATATAACTTATCACAAAACTTGTTAGTGACACAGCAGGTACTTAAACCCAGGTTACTCTTTACATCAGTCAGAGCAAATTCATGTAATATGGTGGCATTTCTTTTACTCTTTTACTATGATTTAACTGTTCCTTTTTTGGTAGGTCTTACCACAATCAGATTGTAAGCTCTAAAGGATGAGGTTTCTTTTTTTCTTTTTTTTGGTGCAAAAGGTGGTTTTGTTAAAGCATGGGGACAGGACCCGTGGGCAGAAAGAGCTGCTAAGGATTGTTTCTTAAATGCATATCTCAGAGGAAAGAGCATGAGTTTTGAAGCTGGACAGAACTGTGTTTGATTCCCAGTTCTGCTACATGCTTGGTATGTGACCTTGAGCAAGTCATTAAACCTCTCAGTCTTCCCTTCTTACTTTTAAAAAGGAGGATAATTAAAAAAAAAAAAAGATTTAATAAACACAAAA